ATTTCAAACGCTGAGTAAATTGTACCCTATGAACAACTCCAGCTGGTGGAGATCTAGGCTGTGTTCCATCGTTGGCTGCAGCAGCGGTGTCCTGGTAATCACATTACTCACTGTCCACGCCTACTTTTACACATAGTTACACACTAGACATCTGAAGGTTTGCTGTTGTCCCAGTTCAACCATTAATGGGGCCCTCGCTCACTCTCAGAGGTGTCACCTTGTGGATAATAGATTCCAGGGACCTCCTTACAAGGGCTCAGAGCCACCACTGGGGAGGAGGGGTTGGCAGGGTGGGAGGAGGCGGGGGGAAGTGGTTCCTGGGTTCTGTTGTGGGCACCGGGGTGGTGGATGCCAGTCCCTAGGATGAGGTGGAGCTTGTGGAGAGTGTGGTGAGTTTTGGACACATTGCGTCAGAACTGCACAGGAGACTTGCCAGGACATTGTCTAGGAGCAGCTGGGGACCCAGTCATTGCCCACCAGAGGTCACTCGGCACTGGTCGGGGTGCACTGGCAATCCCTGTTATTTGCTTTCCATGGATTGCTCAGCAGCTCGGTGGAAGGACACGTGTTAGGGCACCAGTGAATGGGGGAGGAGGAGAAGGGACATGGAAGTTTCCAACAATTTATCATGACCTTCCCCTAAGCTTTTCGCACACAGGTCTCAGATGGTCAACACTGAAAGGCCTTGCTGCTATAAACTGTATCTCAATCCAAAACAAGGGGGCACACGGTGGCCGTCTCAGCTGGAGCTCTAGCTTGGCCAGATTTACTTTCCAACTTTGAACCTCTGCCTGTGTAACTCAGTGGCCCATTGGTGGGGAATCAATGATGACCCACTCCCCTCATTGACAGAGGAAAGGTCTGGTGCCCAGAGAGAAGAGCGACCCCTGGAGGTCGGGTAAGAGGGATGCATCCTAGATCTCCAGGGGCGAGGTGAAAAGAATAACCACCGATTCCACATCTAAATCGATCCTCACTGCAACCCTAGGAGGGGGTCTGTCACCATCCCGATTTGCAGATGAGGAAACAGAAGCTCAGAGAGGTGATGTTCCCTTGGTTGCAGAGACTGGCAGAGGCTGGCCTTGAACCAGGCCTCTGCTTTCTGCCCCTCTGCCTGCTACCCCACCTGCTTCCAGAGGGAATCTCCCTTGCCTGTCCCCCTTCATTGATATTACAGACCAACCTGGTGAATTTTAGCCTTCATTCAGTAGAGGTGACATTCTGCAACACCATCCTGGGGCCAGGCCTTGAGCTGAAGATACAGATGAAGAGAATGTGCCTCCTGACCTAAGGGTTATCATCTAATGGCAGAACTGCAAAGCAGCATCTCTGTTGCTCAGATGAGAAAAAGAAGTCCCCAGGAAAGGGAGTGAACTACCCAAGCCAGGGAGTGACCTACTCAAGCCATGTGGTCATTTAGGGGCAAGAATAGAAAAAGGCAACAACTCTCTCTCCTGTTCTGTATATAAAAAAAAAAAGTCACTCAGGAACTCCTAGGTGGCCCAGTGGGTTAAGCGTCCGACTTTGGCTCAGGTCATGATCTCATGGTTTGTGGGTTCAAACCCCGCATCAGGCTCTGTGCTGACAGTTCAAAACCTGGAGCCGGCTTCAGATTGTGTGTGTGTATGTCTCTCTCAGCCCCTTCCCTCTCAAAAATAAACATTAAAAAAATAATTTAAAAAAATCACCCGTCAATACGCACATAAGTTCTCTACCCTCTTGGGTAACGAAGGAAATGCAATCTGAAACCACAAGGAGATGCCATTTCATGTTCCACTGACAAAAATTAAAAAATCTGATGGAGGGGCGCCTGGGTGGCTCAGTCGGTTAAGCAACCAACTTCGGCTCAGGTCATGATCTCACGCTTCATGGGTTCGAGCCCCACGTTGGGCTCTGTGCTGACAGCTAGCTCAGAGCCTGGAACCTGCCTTCAGATTCTGTGTCTCCCTCTCTCTCTGACCATCCCCTGCTCATGCTCGCTCTCTCTCTCTCTCTCTCTCTCTCTCAGAAATAAATAAAACATTAAAAAAATAAAATAAAATAAAAAGTCTGACGGAAACAAGCAAGTGCTGATGAGGAGGTGGAACAGTGGACCCTCAACGTGCTGCCATATGTATGGCACAAGCCCTTGGCGTGAGCCTTTCAGGTGGGTGAAGAGGCAGTGGCAGGGTGGCCTCCTGGCCACATGCCTGTGTGATCACATGGGCCACACCTGCCTTACTGCTCCACTGCTGCTGTGTTGAAATTCCTAATAATTTACCAAGGAGTCTGTGTTTTGATTTGCACTGGGTCCTGCAAGCCAGTCCTACCCAATGGTTTCACTCCTGGGTATACGCCCTAGAGAAACACTTGCATATGGGTACTCGGAGACCTACTGAGAATGTTCATAGCAGCTCCATTTCTGCAAAAGGCCAGAGACCCACACAGCTTGGATGAATCAAAGAAACAGAATGCTGAGTGACAAAAATGTGAAGAATGTATACAGCAATGTCCCATTTTCATAAAAAGGCCAGATGAATAGTGTAATGGTGTGTGGGGAGATAGGCATATGTGGTAAATCTATAAAGAAATCACTTTCTAGGGGTGCTCGGCTTCCTCAGTCAGTAGGTGGAGGATGTGACTCTTAATCTTGAAGTTGTTAGTTCAAACCCAACGTTGGGTGGAGAGATCACTTACAAATAAAATCTTTAAAAAAATCATTTACAAAGATAATGCAGAGAAGTGGGTGCTCCAAGGCACACGTGGAGCTTTGACCTTGTTGGCCAGCCATATGGTGAGTTTGGTTTGGTTGCTGGGTATGTAATTATCATGCATTAGATCCCATCTTTGACACTGATTCTCAAGGTGTTTATGTTGAATACTCCTTATTTTGAACATGGAACGACCCACGGTGGGGAGGGGGCTGTGGGGAGGAGGCTGCACCGTCAGGGTAAGGCATGCAGAGAGGGACGGAAGGCAGCGGCCTGGGTGAGGCACCCTGGCTGAGCCCCGAGGCCGAGGAGAGGCTGCCATGAAAGGGAAATGTCTGTCGCTGCTGGGGCCCAGGCCTCCTGAACGATAGCAGAAGCTGCCTGAGAACCAGCTTCACGAAGTGAGGCCTCAGTTCACAGAGAACAAAATGCTGCAAACTGACATTAAATGTACCATGTTGCATCATGTGTATGTACAGCTCAGACTCTAAGACTTATAGCTCTTAGATTTTATCTGTTTCATCCCCAGCGACTTTATATTGTTTTCACATCTCTAGGCAAAAAGGTGCCTTTCCTTTCAGGAGGTTTTCTTTTTTAAGCTGAAGTTCTAAACACTTCTTGCCTTGGTTATCTTGTTTTCCTCTTCTTTTTTTTCCAAGTTTTGTTATGTTGTCATATTACTTTTATAATTTCTGGAAGGAGCAGGGGAGGAGGAAGCGAGGAGGTGGTCTCCCATGCCGCAGCCCTAATGACTGAGGGGCTTGCCTGGGACAGGCAGCAGGACCACCGTGGCCCCCTGCCCTGTGGCCAGAGTTGGCACTTGCCCAGGACCATCTGCCCGGGTTGGAGCGATCCCAGGCTGCTCTGAGGTTACGCCCACCGCTTGGCCTTGGGCATGCAGATGTCTGGGACTCCTTTGGCCTGAGTCCCCAGAAGCAGGCCCAAGCTGAAGTGCAGCTTCATGTGTGAGCCTGACTGAGGCCCTCACCTTGCTCTGTCCCAAATCAGCCTGACGAGAATGGGAGGGCCATGCAGCACCAGAAAGAAATAGCTAGGAGTTCTGGGGCCCTCTGAGGGGAACTCTGAGGGCAAGGTAGCCATCAGCCCCCCCTAGATGGCTTCGTCTATCCTCTGGCTCTGCTGGCCACTGGGCTTGTTTCCCCAGGCTGAGGCCTCCCTCTACCTGCGGGGCACAAGACCCAGCCTTGACCAGCCTGCTCTCGCTCTTCCTGGAGGCAGACAGTTGGCTTCTGGATGTAGGTCTGTCTCCCTGCTGGCAGAGAGCCTGGCTGATGTCCCCAGCCCCTACCTGCCACCATGATGGCCTGGTCTGGCAGGTGAATGACACCCAGCTGCCCCAGAGGCCACTCAGTCTCTTTCTGCCTGGTGCCCGGTCCCTCAGGCCTCCCCCTACCACTACCCTGTGGCTCCAGAGAGGGTGCTCTCCCAGGCCCCGAGCTCAGTGACAGTGGGGTGGGGGTGGGGGGATGGAGCCACCATCTGGCTATAGCAATGAGATACAGACCCGTGAGGCAGTACGTTTGTGAACAATCAAGACAGCATATACTTAAGAACGAGGTTCTGCTGGGCAGATTCTGCAGGGAGCTTCCAAGGAGGCAGAGGGGACCGGGCAGGGGGAGGACAGATGCGTGAGTAGGTGGGGCCAGGGGGTGGGGCTCAGGCCCTGGTTGGGAGCCCCAGTCCCCTCTCAGTGACAAGACTGAGACAGATAAAGCTGCCTCCCTTGCAAAGGGGCTGGGAGCGGGAGGAGCACGGAAAGCTCTCAGGCTGATTTGGGAAGGGACTGGAAGCCAGTCTGGGCAAGGCTTAAAAGTGGGTAAAGGCTCAGCAACCAGGGCAGGGCTGGGGGGAGGAAGGGACACAACAATCCAGCTAGCTGGCCCAGACTAACCCTGAAGCACAAGTGCCGCCTCCCATCTGGGGAGTTCAGGCAGCATTCTGGGGCCGTGGCTCGGCTGTGTCTGCCCCTGTTCCTCCAGGGTCTCAGTTCCGCCAGGAGCACCACCTGGCAGATGCCGACCTGCTTTCTCCCTACTGTTTTCCCGGGAGGGTCCCCAACCTCAGTGTCCCTGGGCCACTTCAGGCATCTGGGGGCTCCCCATCGTGTGAGGTCCCCTGTGTGTGGGGGGGGCACGCGTGGGCTAGCAGGGCTTTCTCCTGAATTAGTCTGCTGGCTTTGTGGGGAGATTGCTAGACGGTCCCCCCAGCACCCCAGCAGCTTCTAAACACACTGCGGACACTCGGGAACCAGGTGCTGCGAGGTGAGCAAAGAAGGCAGGGCTCAGGTGATAGGGTTTCAAAACTCGTGGTTTATTGACACTTGAGCGCAGTGACCCCTGGGAAGAGACCATGTTTCTGGCCCCCTCATCCCGGGACCTGCCCCTGCACACAGGGGAAAAAGGGGTTCCGTCTTGGAACAAGATGCCCCTTGCAGAGAACACCTCCCAGGAGCCCTGCTGAGACGAGCACAAATAAACCCTTGGCAAGGCTGGCATGGCGTGTGAATGGCAAAGCTCGGCACATTTGGCAAAGCTGTGGAGCCTCGGCGAAAAGCGCGGGCCTCCTGGGGCTGCCTCCTTCGGGCTACGGGCAGAACCAAACCAAAAACAGCTTATTTTGCACAGGCCCTTAAGGTTCCCATTTGGCTCTAGTCGGGGCCAGGCCCAGGAACCGCCAGAGCTGTGCCCCAAACCCTGGGAATACTGCTGAGGTGGCCAGACTCCCAAGCCGGAACTCAGAACTGGCCCTGTAGGGGTAAGGGTGAGGGCCGCATGCTGGCTTCAGAGGGTAGGGGGAGACGAGACTGTGGCCAAAGGTCGGCTCAGGACCTCAGAGGGCCTGCCCCCATCACTGTCCCCAATAAAGCACACCCCTTTCCTAGTCCTGGATGCGGAGGACAAGCTGGGTCAGGGAGGCCATGCGTCTGCCTCTGGATTTCAGCAGGTTGGGAGCTTGACTAAAAGGCAAGGGAGACCCTGGCTGTGGCTGTGCCCTGCCCTTCGGCCTCACACCTGCATTGGGAGGAAGCTGAGCCTGTCTGCCTCTCCCACTCCTGCTGGCTTGGGATCAGCCCTACCTGTAAAAGCAGGGCTCCCTGTCTCCAGCTTTTGTGTTCCATATACGGCTGGCAACTGTAGCTCCATTCCTTTCCAACCCACTTAATTATAAGAATAGACACTAATAATACTTAACCACCCTCCCGCTAGCAGAGGGGGAGGGTTCCCTCAGCACTGGCAGCAGCTCTCTGGGATGTGCCAGGCTTGCCCCCGATGGGCCCCAAACCTCCAAAATTCCAGGATCTGCTGCACAGACTCAGTGCAACCCTGTGTCCTATAAAGGAGAAACTGGGACCCAAGGAGGCTCAACGACTTGCTCAGCTCATACAATGAGCTAGTGGCAAAACAGGGATTTGAGAAGGGGGCTGAGGCTTCCGGACCTGGGATCCTGGCTAGAGGCCTCCTTGGGACTGTGGCCTGACAAGGAGGTGGGCCAGGAGCTTCAGAGGCTGAAGACGCCCGATGACTCCCAGTCTGACCCAGTCAAGAGGGAAGAGGCCTCTGTGCCTAGGTGCTTGCACAAAGCCAGCATCTGTGCAGTGGGAACAAGGGCTCCCTCCACCCCAAGGCAAGGCTGAGCAGCACCAGAGGGCACGGGCCTCTCCTAGAGAGGGGTGAGCACTGGGACAAGCCTGGAGAAATCTCCCGGTGGAGCCTCAAGCCCGGGCAGGAATCAGACCACCACTTGGTGAGACCAGACTTCACGGGTGAAGAAGCCCTACTCTTGGTGGCAATCCCAGAATAAGAATTAGCAAAGACAGGAGAAAAACAAGCCCACACCTCTTCCTTCTGTTAAGGTCATGGCCAGGGGCAGCCAGGCTAGTAGTGAAGGACGGGGCCACATGCCACCTCTTGCCAGCCCTGTGCTGGGAGGGGCCAAAGAGGGGCCTTCAGATTAAGTGGGGCAATACCGGTCATTGTTGGCTCCCACCAAACCTTTGAACCGCAGTGACCACATTTAAGATACTATTTCTGTTGTGAGCCCTTGAGTGCGGCATTGGCCGCATCATCTTGGCTTCTTCCTCCCTGCTGTGGGAGTAGCGGTAAATACTGAGCCTGTGAGCAGCCTCCCCCAACTCCCACCTGCCCTGGGCTCTCTCTCTCCCTCTCTGCTGCACAGCCTGCTGCCCTCAGGGGGGCGGCTCTCACCAAGTCTGCCCTTCCCTGGGCTGAGGAGGGCCGCCAAGGCTCTCCCACCTCCCATCGCCCACGTCTCTTCGGCAGAGCTCCCTTTGGTGCAGCTGGGATCGGGGTCCTCACTGTACCCACCTTCCTGGAGCCTCGCTACTGCAGGTGGATTCTGGCCTGGGGGACCCAGTGCCAAGCTTCCTCCTGCTGCCCACCTCCCAGCAACAGTCTCCACGAGCCTCCTAAGCCCCCCACTGCTCTTCCTAGACCTGTTAGCCTGGGTCCTCCCACAGAGACCCCTCTCTCTGGGCCCTTGACCTCTACCCCACTCTTCACCCAGCTCTGCCACTTCCAGCTCAAAACACGTGCCGTATCTGCCTCATTGGATGTAAGTAGCCTGAGTCACCCAAGTTTCGTAGCTCTGAGCCTCACCTGCCCAGGGCATGATAGGGAACGTAGAGCTCTCCCCCAAGTGGTCAGGCTATGGGCAGAGCAAGGCAGCAGAGGGTGCCGCCATGGTGGGCAGGAGACAGGAGGAGGGATTTTGGGGACTGTGGAGCAGTCGGACAGGGCTCCAAACAGAGCCAGAACCCCCCAGGCTGCCTCCGGACTTGCCAAGGCCTCATAAGCGTGTTTCCCAATGAAACCAATTCAATTACCAAAACAAGATGTTCTAGGACATTCCAGTCAAATGAGCCCGCTCACGGAGCTCAGTCGCTCAGCCTGGGGACCAGCCAGAGACATGAGCAGCAGGACCGAGGTGTGTAGGGAGGCTGGCTAGGGCCATGGTCACCCCGAACTTCCAGAGCCCCTAGGTCTGGCCCAAGCTGTGCTGCATAGCCCATGCTCTTTCAGGCCACTTTGCTGACTCTCAGCAGCAAACTGCATCAGGAAAGAACTCTAGCGGGGAAGAATTCTAGCCAAAATCATGCCACTATAACAAAATAAATCCTGCTTTTGTAAAAACTTAAACATGCCTCTTACAATCCATCCCAGGCCTGGCAGTTCTAGCCTCACCTAAAGCTGTTTAAGGCACTTGAATGGCTTATTAACACCACCTGGAAAAGTGTTTGTTTAGATCCTGATTTAGGAAAAAAAATTCAGTAATACTGCAAAAGAAATTTCTTCCAAAGAAAAATATCAATACTTAAGTTTTCTGAGAATAAAATAATGCTAAGCTCTGCTTAAGTTACGTGACACAACAGATCACCTTGGCACTGACAAAACAAAGACAAAAACCTGAAATACTGCTTCTGAGTTAGACTGCCCTGGAAAAAAAAAAAAGACCACAAACAGAAGACACATGCGTTCTGACCTTCCCCTCCCCGGATATGCGCAGGACGGGGAGGGACCCAGGGAGGCTGGGGGCCATGAGCATCCACTGCAGACCAGAACTCAGGTGCTCCCTCCTCCCCAGCAGGGCTGCTTTCCCCAGTTTGGGAAACTGGCTCAGCAGGCCAGGCGCATCTGTGGAGATGAGCCTCCCAGCCACGGCCAGTGAGGAGCAAATGAGAAACCTGCGCTAGACACCCAAGGAGGGCTGGGACGCACTTGGAAACATCCGTTTCCTGGCTCCTGGTTCTGCCCAGGGACTCATGCAGCATCCTGCTGCCCCATGCGCATGCCCGGTGTCTTTGGTCTGGCTGTGGCCCCTGCCTGAGGCCTCTGGTCCCGCCCCTACCCAATGGGGCTGGGAGCAAGAGTCCCTCCACTTCCCAAGTCGTCTTCTCTTTGGTGAGGTCTCTTCCCTAGGCCTCCTTCGGAGAACTGGGCCATCCCATTTCCTGTCTGAGCAGGGCACAGCCCCCACCGCCCAGTGCAGTTCCACAGCCACCAGGATGGGCCGATGCAAGCACACAGGGATCTCGGGGCCCTGGGAAAGCACTGTGAGGGTGGCACCCACCTGCCCACCGCCGCCTGTCGGGTCCTAAGGCATTTGAGGGGGAGGGTGATGGGGTGGGGGCAGGGGGCCTGCACCTCCTAGCTTCTCTGTAGAGTGTTGGTCCCTGGCTCTGCGAGGCCAGCGGGTACGTCTCCTGCCCCCTGGGCCCCGCCCTTCAGTAGATCTCGGGGGTCCCTGAGGAAGACCACCATGACTGTGATGTTATCGTGGGAGCCCCGCTCCCGGGCTGCAGCCACCAGCTCCTCGGCGACCTGCAGCCCACTGCCCTGCTGCCTGACCAGGTGGCTCTGAACGAGGCCCGCGATCTCCTGGTGGGGGACGACGTCGAAGAAGCCATCACAGGCCAGCAGCAGGTAGTCCTCGGAGCCCGTCAGCTCTCGGGAGGCTGAGTCCGCCTCTCCTGACACGTAGGGCTTCTGAAAGACGTCTCCTGGGCACAGGAGAGAAAGGCCTCCCGTCAGACAGTTGGGCTGCCTGTTGCCAAGTCCAACCAGGCCCGGGCCTCACTGTGGCCACCCACTTCCGATGCCCGTGTTCACCAGTGAAATTAGGTAAATTCCTGGGGTGCTAGGGGCAATGTGGCAGGCCTATCAGCTGCAGAATTAGAAATCGGCCAGGCCATCTGTGCTGACTGCCAGCTCAGAGCCTGGAGCCTGTTTCAGTCTGTGACTCCCTCTCTCTCTGACCCTCCCCTGCTCACGCTGTCTCTCTCTCTCTCTCCTAGAAATAAATAAAACATAAAAAAAAAAAAAAAAAAGAAATCGGCCAGGCCAGAGGTCAGCTCTACAAAACAGCCTTTTCACTTCCAGGAGAGCCGGGCCCAGAGGGGGGGAGGGGGATGAACCTCACGTTTCCTCCCTTATACTCAGGTCTGTAGCTCCCCTTCCCCCCAGGACCCTCTCCCTGAGGGCCCACATCTAATCCTTAGCAAGTCCTATTGGCTTTATCTTCAAAGTGCAACTCGAACCCACCTCCTCCTCCTCACACATTGCCCAGGCCCGCCGATCCCCCTCCTTCTGCCCCCTGCCCGGGAGTGTGCACCAGACCACACTGCTCCCCGACACAGAACTGCCTAGGGTTCCCCGTCCTTGGGAGGAGCCTCCACTTTTGGAGAGGCCTGCTCTGCTGTCTCCCGACCCAAACGTGCCAGAGACCCAACAGCGGCAGCAGCAGGGAGAAGGGCTAGAAGGCAGGCGCCGCATGCGGCAGTAAGGGTGGCGCGCATCCGGAGGCTGGGAGGGAGGCAGGCCACATGGCGGGGGTTAGCATGAGTGAAGTGGTGCCTACGTACCTGGGGGCAGAGGTGTGGCTGCCGAGCCCCAAGTGAGGCCCAGCAGCAGTAGGATGCTGAGAAAATAGGATTGTGGGGAGAGGCGGCTGCTTTTCTTTTCTTTTCTTTTTAAAGATAGAAAAAGAAATCACCAGCATGAATGGGGGAGGGGAGGATAATCCTCATTTATGGAATATTTGAAAATGGCCTTCTAGCATATAGAGTAGCTAGCCAAGGGTCTCTGGGTAGGTTTTTCTGGGGAACTGTTTTAATGAGGAGATAATCACAGAAAGGTGAACTTGGGTGATTCTTTTTGCGAGATGCAAGTTTCTAAGGTGTCTGTACCTGCACTCTCTCAATTCACCAGAGGCCCTTCAGTCTGACTCCACGGCCCCACAGACCACAGGTGCTATATCAGCATAGGAAGCTGCTGTCCCCAACAGCTGTGTGAGCCCATGGGCCTCAGGCAAGAGGCCTTCGTCTCCCACCCCCTTACCAATGGCTCTGGACACGGCTAGGGTCCCGTTGACTCTCCAGCAGTCCATGTGAGACACGAAGCCGCCCAGCGCCTCGATGCGCTCCTTCTCATCCTGTGGGGGACAGCCAGAGTGGGGGCTGGGGTGCACCCGTGGGGCACAGTGCCCAGTGCTGCTGCCTGAGTGGAACGGAGCTGGTTTCTAAGTGCTGGGGGGCTGTGGCTCTTGAACGATGCCCGGATGAGGCATTAGTGGAACAGCAGACACCATGAACCGCCTAAAAGTCCTTCAGTTGCAGCGAGGGCTACCTCAGTTACGGGGTGAACACAGCCAGACCACTCACAGCCTCCGACCCCCTGGCAGCCTCCCTTTTCACTCGGGGATATGGTTTCCTCCTTGTAAGCTGCTGGGATGAGCCCACGCCTGTGCCACACGTGGCCACCTGGCAGGGCTGGATGAAACCTGAACCAGCCCCTCAGCTGCCCTCCTACCTCATCCTCTCCACCAGCCGAAAACTGCTTCTCCAAGGTCAAGCCCAGAGCTGGTGGCCAAGCGGGTTCCCATCAAGGGCCATTGCCCGCCCAAGCTGGAATAAGAGGCTCTGCACAGCTGGGCCCCTGGGCCCCCTGTTTCAGTGAGGCTGCCCTGTCCAGACGTTTCCCCTCATGGCCCCCCCCGCCTCCCTTCTGCCCCTGACTGAGTGGCCTCACTCACCTGCACACTGGCTATGCAGTGGTCTGTCCCTCCTGGGCTTGGCTGGCACCAAGGTCAGCTGCAGAGGTAGTATGTCGGCACTGCGCTCGGCCACCCCCAGGCTCTCTTGCTGGGTTTCTGCCCTGCTGTGCTCCCCACCCCCTACTTTTGACGGGACGGGCCCACTCTCCTGCCACATGCTCCCTCCCACACACGCCTCAGCTCTATGAGCGTGCGGCCCTCAGGCCGATGTCCCCGGTCCTGCCTGTCATCACAGCCCCTCCAGACTCTGCACTTAGGGAACACCCCACCCTGTCCTCCCTGGCCCCTGGCGCCCCTGGCTAATGGCATCATCAACCTCTTGGATGCCCAAGGGCCTCTCCCCATCCTCAAAAGCCTAGATTCTTCCCCATCCCTCCTGATGCTGCTTTGCCAGGCAGGTCCTCCTCCCCATAGCTGGCCAAGCGACTGCAGTGGCCTCTTTTGTGACTCGGCTTGCAGCTCACCCTCCGGTGGTCTGATCATTCTAGAAGCTTCTAGAAGTTCCTTGTGAAGTTCCTCCTGACACAGGAGCAGGAGCCCTCAGTCTCTCAGTGGCTGGTCCTGGCTAAACCTGCCCTTTCCTCCTGGACTCCACCCCTGGCCTGCTGGGGTCCCACCTGCCACCAGGATTTGGCTCTACGCCTCCTTCCCGCTCATTTCCCTCTTCCACATCTCCCAACGCTTTGCCCATGTCCTGTGGCTTGCAGCTGCCCATTAGCCTGAGAGGTGCTGGGAGGCCCACTGCCTCAGCAAAGTGTCCTGTGCACAGTAGGTGCTAACTGGTCGCTGGCCTGAACTGAATCCAGAGGCAGCAAGGCTCTGTACAGACAGCAGCAGAACAAGGCAGAGTGCCATGCGGTCCCAAGTGCCTCAGAGCTGGTTTTGGCAGCTTCCAGATCCTCACTGTCCCTCACTGTGGCTCACTAGGTGGTTGCTAGTTTCCCACTCTCATGACCAATGTGATGGTGGTTGTTTTTTGTGGGAGACCTTTGAGCTGGTCTTTGATGACTTCTCTGTGTGGGTGACAGGCTAAGCTCGGGATCACAAGGCTCATTAACCGGGAGTGGCTGGCAGGGGCCAAGAGGGCCTCGGAATCTAGTCTCTGTAGCCGTGTAGGGTACAGACTAATGAGAGAACAGACACTCTGGCAGGCTTCTCCTGCCAGCACCCCACGTGCACCAGGACACTCCATTCTTATCTGCTGGGAACCCCATTTTACAGACAAGACACTCAAGGCTTAGAAGGGGGGGAGCCAGGCCTGAGCATGGGTGTCTGTCTGTGCCCTTTACTGTGGTACCATTCTGCAGGGCTCAGGCAGTGCCGGGGGGGTGGGGGGGGCTGCCCAGAAAAGTCCCCACTAGGCTTCAGAGGAGGCACAGGACACCAAGCTTGTAGGGATGAGGGTGGCAGGAGCAGGCCAAGCACCCCGAGCAGAGACTTGAGGCTAGTCCTCCCTTAGGCCGTATTTCACTTGACTGCCTGTCTCAGGGTAGGAGGGTCCACCGGGGAGCAGGTGCCCAATGCCCCAGTGCTGCAGCGAAGTGGCACAGGATACCTGCTACTTCCCGGCTGTGTGCTCTGGGCAAGTTACTTAACCTCTCTGAGCCTCAACTCTCTCCTCTATTTGACAGGGAGAGCGTATGTAGGAGGTTTAGCACAGACCAAGCTGCGGGGAGGCCAAGGAATGCTGTCATTCGTGGCTGTTCTGGTGATCACTGCCTGACACTCCCTTGCGGTGCTTTCCAAATCTAGAAGCCACAAAAGGACAGCTCAGTTCGGTTACATAAAAACCAACATGTCTACAAGGCAGAAGCGCCAAACAAAGACCAGGCGGGGAGGGCAATTTGCAAATCGCCCTGCAGACAAGGAGCTGACTTCCCTGTTGTATAACAGATGCCTACAAATTGATAAGAAAAATTGCAATAGCTCAGGAGACAAATGGGCAAAGGATGAGAATGGAGGGTGCTCACAAAAGGCAACACAAATGATCTCAAGTGTTTGAGAAGATGCTCAGCCTCACACTGTAAGAGAAATGCAAACTGAACATTTCTGCAGAATGGTCGGTGGGGCTGTGGGCAAAGGACACACAGCCTGAGGAGGGCAGTGTGGCAAACAGGCCAAGACTGCAAATGGGAGCACTCCTGCTTATCCCTCCACTCCTAGGGAGCCGCTCTATTAACATACTTGACTCAGAAGGGTAAAATGCTATGCAGTGTCATCTAGTGCTGTGTTTGCTTTAGCATGAAAAAGACTGAAGAACTCTCGGGGCACCTGGGTGGTTCAGCTGGTTAAGTGTCTGACTTCGGCTCAGGTCATGATCTCATGGCTCGTGAGTTTGAGCCCCACATTGTGCTCTGTGTGGGTAGCTAGCTCAGAGCTTGGAGCCTGTTTCGGATTCTGTCTCCCTCTCTCTCTGCCCCTCCCCCACTCTCTCTCAAAGATAACAAACATTAAGAAAAGAAAAAGACTTGAAGGAATCTCACTGTCCATGGACAGGACTGGGGCCGGATGGAGCTCTGCACAGCCCTGTGGAAGGCGGGGGCACGTTCCGTGCTGATGTGGAGTGCCCGTACATGTGGGGAAAGCAGAGCGGGGACAGCGCTCCCGGGCATTTCCCAGTATGCAAACGCCTGCCATCCTACAGAGACAGACAGACTGGACAGATGTGGTCCAAGGAGGAATGTCAGCCTTATGTCCAGGTGAGGACCTTGAGGCTCAGACAGTTGAGTGACTTCAGGATCCCAGAGTAGCCTCTACCCAGTGAAGCCCCAAGGCTGGTTCCTTCTGACCTCGGCTTAGCATCACCTCCGCCCTGGAGCCCTCCACCCGACAGCCCAGGTGGCCAGCTGCCCCTTGCCCACATGCGTGAAGCGTAGGAGCCTGTACTTTGACCCTACTTCCTGGGCTGCCTCTCCTCCGCAGCTCTGGGCTCCATATCACTATGGTGAGAAGGGGTTACGTGGGGCTCTTGGCTGTTAATGCCCCCAAGCTTTAGGGGACCCCTCCACCAAACCCCTGGCCACTTGAATCAGGCAGAAGGGCCCTCCCTCTGGAGGAACACCAGGATCTCCCTACAAAGATGGTGCAGGGCCTTTCTTGATTCCTCGCCCACCTGGCCATCCGCTAACCCGTGTGGTCCAACGAGATCGGGGCCAGGGATTACCCCGGCGCGGAGGGAGGGAGCCCCTTACCTGTCGCTCCGGTCTGTGTGGCTCCATCAGCTTCACCACCTGTCCCTGCTGTACCAGGATGACCTGGGAGTCCCCGAGCCAGGCGACGTGCAGGGCCTTCCCCGCAATGAGAGCGCACACACCCGTGGTGCCACTCTGTAGCCGCTGAAAGGAGAGGGGGCTGAGGGTGAGCCACTGTGGGCCCACGCTTGTCCAGACTGAAGGACTCCTGCAATAAGGCACAGAGTGCACAAATGCACAGGGCACAGTGAGCCTCCTAAGGGCTACGCTGAGTGACAGGAGAACACATCTTGTGTGGTCCCGCCTACCTACAACTCTGGAAAACACAAGCTCTATCATCTTTTACGTCTGAAAGCAGAGTGGTTGTCCGGGGAGGGTGGGGTGACAAAGGCCAGGAAGAAATTCTTCAGGGGTGACGGGAACATCCGTTATTGTAGACAAATGCTAAAACTTATCCAATTATACACTTTGTTTTTATTGCACCAACTGTACGCTGTACATTTGTAATATGTGCAATTTATTATGTGTCAATTTCATCTCAATTCAGTGATCTTAAATTAATAATACACTAATTTAAATGCCTGCTTCAGTAAACTGTTACTTTGGGAGGTGGCCTGGAACTCTGGGGCTTTCTTCACCTCCCAGGAGTGACAGTATCCAGGAGGCCTGAGGCATGTCAGCTTTGCACCGGGCTCCCACTTTGCAGTTTTAGATGCTATATGATTTTCTGCTAAGATGCAAAGTCTGGCTTTGCTGATCTCTGTTGAAACCTGTACTTAGAGCGTCTGAGGACAGTGTACCCCCTTCCAGGTCTCCTTATGAGTCATGTCAACTGGGGCACATCCTTTAAGCTCTCTGGGCCTCAGTTTCTCCATGTTCTAAAATGGATGCAATTTTAGTAGCTGCCTCGTAGGGCTGCTAGGAGGGCCCCACGGAGGTTCTTCATTCTGCACATAAGGTTCAGTGGCGGGGGGGGGGGGGTAGTTCACGGAGGAGGGGCTGAATGCCTTCTTTCAATAACGAGTGCCTCGTGTCTATGAGTGCCTCATCTCTACGTGGCTCTAATTCCCAAACAAAGAATACACCCAGTGGTTACCAGCAGCTTGCCAAGACCCTGCCTGGGTGAGCAAGGGAAGGTATTAATCATGGGTTTTATTTTTTGTATTTTTCTTTCCTTTTAATTTAAAAAAAAATGTTTATTTTAGAGGGAGAGAAAGAGAGGGAGGGAGGGAGAGGGAGAGAGGGAGAGAGAGGGAGCGCACGCACAGGCAGGGGAGAGGCAGAGAGAGGGAGGAGACAGAGGATCTGAAGCAGGCTCTTTGCTGGCAGCACAGAGCCGGACGCGGGGCTCGAACTCAGAACCATATCATGACCTGAGCCAAAGTCAGATGCTCAACAGACTGAGCCACCTAGGTGCCCCATATTTCTCATGCACTGACAAACTGGGGTGCTTGTTAATCCTGGAGAGGGTACCTGTCCCAGGGCAGGCTCATTCTTGAAGGTAGGAGTCACCCCAGGAGTGCAACCTTCATGTACAAGCCAGCTGGTCTGAACCCATATCCTCAACCATCTCCTCTGTCTCTCCCATCAGGCCGCTTCGGCTGGCCTGGATGGCTGGGGACCGCCCCTGCAGCCCAGAGACCAGCAGGTTATCCAAACCATCCAATCGTAAACTTGCTGTGACTTGCCTGCCCTGCCTCGCCCAGGCCCTCCTGTGAGGCCACAGTAAAGCTGTGCTCTCTCCCTCTGCCTCCCGACCAACCCTGGTGCTCCCCACATGGCCTCGCATGGTGTGAGGTCTCCTCTGGGCACTGTAAGTAACAAAACTCTTCTTCCAAGGCAGGTGTTTGTGTCTGTCACCTTGCCATCCCTGGTTAAAACAGAATCCATTTTAAAACAGACTGTCCTTCCCTGTGAGGCCTGCACATCCACCAGGAGGGCCAGGCAGACAAGACCAGATGCATGCTTTGCACGGCTTTTATTGAAATGGAAAACAAGTCCCCTTTTACCATAAGAATGAAGTGATATGATTGCCAGCAGAGTTTAGTGAGGGACTTTTTTTTTTAATATAATTTTTTAAAATGTTTTATTTAAATTTTAGAGAGAGAGAGAGAGGGAGAGGGAGAGAGAGGGAGGGAGAGAGAGAGGGAGAGAGGCAGAGTGTGAGCAGGGGAGGAGCAGAGAGAGGGAGACACAGAATCTGAAGCAGGCTCCAGGCTCCGAGCTATCAGCACAGAGCCCAACGTGGGGCTCGAAGTCACGAACTGTGAGATCCTGACCTGAGCTGAGCCAAAGCCGGAAGCCCAACCCAGACGCCCCTAGTGAGGACCTTCTGACACCACCAATCGCTTTGATTTCCTCTGCAAGGGCTGGGCCTCTCTGATGCTAATGGCTACTGGCCCCCAAACTGCACACGAGGCCCACACTGGTTCTCACCTCTCGCTTGGCTTTCCAGAGGAACATCTCATCCGTGTGCCGGAAGGCTTCTCTGAGGGCTCCCGCGGGGTCTGTGGGCAGCTCTGGCCGGCGGGCCACGTTGGCGTGCACGTGTACAGCAGCGTACCTTGCAGCGTCCACCCCCCCGTGACCATCAAACACAGCAAAGTAGGCTCGGTCCACGGGGTCCTGGTAGGGAATGCAGTGGGAGTCACTCCGACCTCGTCCTGACCATGGCTATGACCTGGCCAGAGGCTTCTGTCTGGGGGTACAGTCCAGGTGCTGACTGGGGTGGGTGGGTCTGGAAGAGTCAGCATGGCCTCTGCCATCAGATGGGTCAACCTGACTCAAGCACATATGAGCTGGAAGATTTGGGAAAGGACAACTCTCTGGAGTTGGTTTCACCTTCTGTACCGAGTTGCTGGAGCGTAAAACAAGGTACGATGTACCAGGTGGCTCCCAGCGCTGGAGACAGAGCAGAGCCCAGCAACCATGAGTCTGGGGCAAACGAGAGACTCCTGGGGCCTCCCCTTATAACAGATCTGGGCAGACCATTCCCCTTCCTTAGTCCCTTAGCTGGGAAAGCAAGGTGGCCATGGGTGCTCTGGCCCAGCAGCACGGGGACGATGACTCGGGCCTTCCAGACGCCCTGGAAAGTGCTCTGCCTCACCCAGCGCCTCAGCCTTCAGATGACAGCTGCAGCCATCACGCCTGCTTCGGCTCTGGCTGGCAGCTCTGCTGGGAGCCCCGGGTGGCCCCACCCCCTGCACCAGGCCTTCTTGCTGTTCTGCGTGGGGCCCGGGAGATGGAGCACTGCAGGTGGAGCACTCACAGACAGGCCAAAGAGCTGGTTGAAGGCAGGAAGGCACACGTGGCGGTCTTCCATCTTGCGGCGAGTATTCCGGATGGCATGGATGGAGACTAGCCACTGCCGCTGAGGAACCCAGGCGTTCAGAGGCACCTGCTTCTGCCACTGGCTGCACACTTCCCAGAGCCGGTTAAAGAAACTTCGTGCCAGGTCCTTGGCATCTAGCACTGATGGGCATAACAGAGGACTGTTAGGGAAGCACCAACCCAGACCAGCTGGGCTCCACTCAACTCTCCCTGACCCCCTTCTCTGTGGCCCCTGCGGCTGCACAGACAGCTCCCACCACAGGCCTGCACGGGCCCCACTGGCCCATGACCCCCTGGGGCATTCCGGCCTAGTAACAAGCACACCAGCCTAGACAACTATGTGTGACAGCCTGTGTCATCAGCAGTGAGCAATGCCTGCTTTGGCAATATGTACAGGAAGGAGCCTCCTGTCCCACAGTGAGCAACTATACTCGTGGGAGCCCACCCCAAGGAAACAGCTGGAGACGCAAAGACGACTTAAGGACGAAGTACAGAATCACTTCTAATTGCGCACTAATTCGAAACTCTATATATCCAGTGACAGAATAAATTACGGTCTATTCTCTTGATGAAGAGTTAAAGCTGCTATTAATCATGATTTTTGCAACTAAACATGCAACTGCCACACAGCCCAGCCACTGCAGCCCTGGGCTTTTATCCCGGAAAAACTAAAGCTATGCTCACACAAGAAACTGTGGGCCCCAGTCAGTGTTCCCTGCAGCTTCACCTATAATAGGTGAAAACCTGGAAACGGCCCGGATGTTTTTCAACACGTAAGTGGGTAAACTTCGGGACACCATCCCATGGGATACTGCTTGCAGCAAGGAGGAAGGAAGGAGCTATTGGTACATCATAGAAACCCAGATGGAGCTCTGGAGAAGTATGTGGAGTGAAAAAAAGCCTATCCACAAAACTTACACATTCTATGATTCCATTTACAGGCATTATTGAAGGACAAAGTTATAGAAATAGAGAAGACTCATGGTTGTCAGGACTAGGGACAGAGCGCGGGGTATTAGGGTGGCCATAAAGGGTAATATGGGATCCTTATCGGACAAAACCATTCTATATCTTGGCTATGTCAAGATCTTGGTCATGATATTTGAATACAGTTTTTCAAGACGTTACCAGTGGGGGGAACTGGGTAAGGGACGCATGGAAACTCTCTGTGTTAATTCCTTTTTTTTTTTTTTTTAAATAATGATGGCTTGACGGTTATTCTTTTTTTTCTTTTAAAGTGTATTTATTTTGAGAGAGAGAGTGTGTGAGTGGGCACAAGCGGGGGAGGGACAGGGAGGGAGGGAGAGAAAGGATCCTAAGCAGGCTCTGTGCTGTCAACGCACAGTCCAACGTGGGTCTCGAACCCACGAAAAGCGAGATCATGACCTGAGCCAAAATCTAGAGTTGGACGCTTAACCCAGGCGATGCCCTCTGTATTATTTCTTACAATGCCATATATGAGGCTACAGTTATCTCAAAATAAAGTTTAAAGGAAAAAAAAAATCACAAGGTAAAACAAAAATGGCCTTTCAAACCTTTTTTTTTTTTTTTTTTAAATGTTTTATTTATTTCTAGGAGAGAGAGAGAGACAGCGTGAGCAGGGGAGGGTCAGAGAGAGAGGGAGTCACAGACTGAAACAGGTTCCAGGCTCTGAGCTGGCAGTCAGCACAGAGCCCGACGTGGGGCTCGAACCCACGAACTGCGAGATCATGACCTAAGCGAAAGTCGGACGCTTAACCGACTAAGCCACCCAGGCGCCCCCAAAAATGGCCTTTCAGAGTGTGCGAGCACATAAAATGCTTGTCATGATATTAAGGAAGACAGAAAATCCCACATACAGTTTGATCGCGAGGACATGAAAAAGCCTTCGGCCGCTTAGACCCGGAAAATAAAACGCAGGAAAGGCATACAAGCAAAATGTCAGCGGTGGGTGTCTGCAGGTGGTAGTTCTGCTGGTGAGGTTTTTTTCTTAAGAATACTTTTTTATGCTTTCTCAATTTTCCATGACAAGTGTTAGCCCCAGTAATCATTTCAAAATATGCCCATATTCATTGATGCTTTGATTGGGAGCCTGGTTTCCTTTCCTTGAGCGTGGGCCTTAGTGACCTGCTCCTAACAAACAGAATAAAATGGAAGTGATCATGACAGCTCCCTGAGAGGCACTGTGGCTCCCACCTTGCACACTCTCTCTCTCCCTGTCTGTCTGTGTCTCTCCATGTCCCTGGTGAATCACTGGCCCTGAGGGAAGCCGGCTACCACAGTGTAAGGATGTTGGAGTAGCACTGGGGAGAGTCCACACGGTGAGGAACTGAGGCCTCCTGCCAACAGCCAACTAACTGAACCACTTTGGAAATGGAACTTCCGCCCCTGCTGGCGTAAGCTCATGACCACGATCTCTTGAAGGACCCTGAGCCAGAACCACCAGCCTGGCTGCTCCCAAATTCCAGACCCGCAGAAACTATAGGATAATAAATGTTTGTTTTAAGCCACTAAATTTTGGGAGAATTTGTTATGCAGCAATAGGTAACAGCTTCTACGACATGAATTTTAAGAAAAGGTGGGGGGCTCAGTGGCTCAGTTGGTTGGGTGGCCAACTTGGTTCAGGTCATGATCTCACGGTTCGTGGTGTCGAGCCCTGAGTTGGGTTCTTCACTCACAGTGCAGAGCCTGCTTGGGATTCTATCTCTCTGCCCCCCTACTCTCTCTCTCTCTCTCAAATAAATAAACATTTAAAAAAATCCTATCTAAACCTGTTCTGTAAAGAGAAGATTAACAAGGAACAGGTCCCAAGGAAATCTCAGGTGACATGCCTCAGAGACTCTGTTCATTTCCACACGTGAAGCCCTCCTGGGACTCCCACCTGGCCCAGGTACATGCAGCAGGTACAGGTTAGTCTGGGGGAGGGGGGTGGGATTCAAGGGCAGACCCTGAGGAATGTCACAGGTCACACATGCAAGACTTCGGGGGTTGGAGAAGAAGAGCTCCTGCCCCAAGGCAGTGGCTGCAGAAGAAAAAGACAGGGAGAGACAAGGGGGCAGAGAGGGGCTGTGAGCACAAGAGGCTATGGGAAGACACATCTGAGGGAATCCAGGCCCCAAGGTGGGGGTGTCTAGAACTGGTCACTGCCACCACGCCCAGGACACAAGGGTCACTCAGGTGTCTGGCAAGAAGTGGGAGACCAGCAGGGCTCTCCTGAGGGGCTGTGGGTACAGGAAGGCTCAGCTCAGAGAAGACAGGTCCACATGCACTTGGCCCAGTGAATCCCCTGCCAGCAAGTCAGCCGTCGCTCAGCCAGACTGCACGGCGCTGCCTCCCCAATGTCGTCCTCCTCTCCCAGGCAGGTGGCTGTGCTCGGATGACCACCTGGGCTGCTGGGCTCCTTTCCTCCCGCTCTGGGCTCTGCTTTTATTAGGCCTGAGACACCCAGGGAGGCACAGGGCGCTGTGTATGCTCTTGCCTTAGGTTATGCTACTATTTCCGTCAACATGTTTGAACTTGAGTCTCAGCTTAAGCAAAGGCAATTACCGCTGACAACGATAAGCAATGCATAAGCGATGGGAGGATAGGCTGGCTCACGGACTCCTGATGCCGCTGGCAGGAGATGCCTGCTTGTCTGGCCGAGGGCCTCCCCCGGGCGCCCCCAGGACCTGCTTGCTGGGGAGGGGTTGGCTGGTGTTCCCACCTGACCCAGCTACATAGAGGTCTTAATCATAGCTCTGTCCTTGAGAAGTGGTGCTTATAACACCTGCCATGATGCCAATTTTGCGCGAACGGCTTCGAGATGATAGACTTTACTGTATTCCGCTCCAGTGACAGGAACAGCTGATCAAGGCCACAGGTCCGGGCCTGCATGGAGGGCGGGGGCAGGCTGCGATTTCCTCCCACACGGGCCCCTCCCTCCCTCCCTGGCCTTCAGGAGCCCCCAGGTATGGGGCTCTGCGGGTGCCAGCCACCGCCTGGGGCCTTCCTGCCAGCAGGTGGCGCTGGTCTCCCGCCAGGACGCTTGGGTGGGGCACTCCCTTTGTGGGGCTGCAAGCCTACAGGCTTTGCAGAGGACAATGGCTTCCTGTCACTGTGGGCCTCAGTCGCCTGCACCTCCCAGGCAGGAATGTGAGGCCATGCTGGGCTGGAACGTGGGCAGGGAGCCAGGGAAAAGGCAGGGCACACGGCTGAGGAGGGCTCGGCACCTGCTGAAGCGAGAGGCCGCGTGGTTTTTCTTCTTTCTCCCCGCCTGTTCCTGGTTTGCCCTTAATACTCGCGATAATGCTAAGCTTAAAGTAACACAGGTAATAAATATGTGATATGATGGGAGTAATTACGTGCAATATATAAAGGGGCAAAATCAGCAAATCATACAGTAGGCCTCCACTCCCCCCATCCGCTTGCCTTCTGCGGTTTCAGGTACAGGGAGTCAACTGTGGTCTGAAAGATGATCCTCTTCCTGACGTATCGTCAGAAGGTCATTAGTAACTGAACGCTACCCTGTGATGCCAACGTCCCTCACCTACTTCATCTCACCACGGAGGCATTTTCTTATCTCACACCAAAACCGAGAAGGTGAGTACAGTACAGTAAGATATTTAGAGAGAGACCACACTCATACTACTTTGGTCACAGTATATCGTTATAACTGTTCTATTTGAGTATCGGCTGTGGTTGTTAATCTCTTACTGTGCTTCGTTTATAAATTAAAGTTCATCACAGGAATGCGTGGATAGGAAAAAATGCAGAACGTATAGGGTCTGGTCCCATCTGCGGTTTCAGGCATCGTCTAGTGGTCTTGGAACGTATCCCCCTCGGATGAGGGCAGGGGTGTCTACTGTGTTAGGAAAGTGAAAGACAGACCTGCAAAGTAAGAGCCCTGACTTTTTATGATGAGGCTCACTGCCCAATTCTGGGTTCCTCCGGCTGTGAGGTGTGGCTTGGGGTCTGCCCTGCTAGCCCGTCTCCCGGGAGGAAGCAGACAGACCAGCCCCGCTGGCCCCTCCCGAAGCCAGCTCTCAGACACCCCAGAGTCTCCATCTGATGGGGTCCTAAGTTGGATCGGCCCAGGCAAGGTGCCCAGGCTCTGGGATTTTCTACCAGCTGGGCCCTGAGGCCGCCCCCAGGAACTGCTCACACATCACCCTCCGGACTCCCACGCCACCCTGGGGCAATGTCAGCTGAGGCAGATGAGCAAGTGGGTGGCTGAGTTACCACCTCAGTCTCCTCCCATGGAAAACGGGAAAAGCGTTATTCATCTCCTGGGCTGTTCTGAAGCCCAGCTGCCCTCCCTCTGCTGCCCTCATGCTCCCGTATTTTCTTGGCACCTCCATTCTGCCACACTGTCATGAGTACACGTGGCTGGCGCCACCCTTTGTGGCCCCCAGCCACGTGCTGCCTGCAACCACCCATCCAGCAGCAAAATGGGAAAGGCCATGGAGCCCAGGTGAGCCCTGACACTTCCCAAACTGGCACTCCCCTGCGGTCCGTTCCTTGTCTGGCTGGTGAGTGTGTCACCCGCTAAGCCTTTGGGCCAGAGCGGGAAGAGAACTCACAGGTCACGGGGGCCTTATCTTCCTCATTGTCCTCTTCTTCCTCCTCCTCCTCCTCCTGTCTGAGCAATTTCCTGAATTCAGAAAGGTCCGTCTGCAGCAGCTGGGAAATGGCCTCATGGGCCAGAGATGAAGCCAGTGGTGGCGGAGCATTCCTGGGGACAGGAACAAGAAGTGAGGTGGGCTGGCACCTCAGCAGAAACTAAGACCCCAGTGCCTACCAGAATGTTCCAGATGCAAGACCTCCTTTCCACTTGGGGGTGCCTGCGGAAGTAGTGATAACCACTCGCACCACAATGTGCAGCCCCAAGGAGCAGGTCAGCCTTTGGGCCTCGGGGAGCTGGATGGGACATCAGCTCCATGCCATTCACCAGGTCCTGAATTACACCAAACATGGGTAGGGCTCGTGGGGAAGAGATGTGTCTGCTGGCGCCCGTGACCAGGCCAGACAACTGCCTCATATCCAGCCTGTAGACAGCTCCTGGTCACCAATACCACCTGGGGACCTCTAGGGTTTCAAGAGTCTTCTGAATTAAATTGTGTCCCCCAAAATTCTTATTTTGAAATTCAAATTACCAGTGTCTCAGAATGTGAGCTTATTTAGAAACGGATGCAATGAGGTCATACTGGAGTAGGGTGGGTCCCCAATCCAGCAACACAGGGGAAATTCAGACACAGACACACACAGGGAGAACTCTATGGGAGATGAAGGCAGAGGCCGGGGTGATGAGGCAGAAATCGTCAGAAGGAACCAGCCCTGCCAATACCCTGATTTTGGACTTCCAGCCTCCAGAACTCTGAGACAACACATTTTTTGTGTTTAAATTGCTTGGTCTGTGGTGCTTCCCATACCATGTCCATGGAAAGCCTTCCATGGTTCCCCCATGCATAGGTGTCAATCCCCTTGGTGCCCCTATACCTCTAGGTGCATCCTGACTCCAGAATCTGCCTTCCCACCGGTGGGAACCCTTCACAGGCCAGAGGATGTGTGTCATCCTCGTCAATCCTTGAGGGCTGGGGGCAACGCCCAGGGTGGTCAGCAATTCTATGCTGGGCAGACGCAACTGGCTTTCCCAAGGGCAACCGCTTCCCAACAGCCAGGCAGAGGGGTCACTTCTCTTTGGGGGCTAGGTGCCCGTGGTGTGTCTGTAGATGGTCTTAGGAATCTACTGGGATGAATTTGTGATTTAAAACGAGAGGGTGACTCAGGGGAGAAGCCTCTGGAACTGCCTTTGAAAAACAACCAGCCAAGACATGAGAAATGAGTTCCTCTGCCGTTTGGGGATTTCCTGCTAACTACTGGTTTTCCTTGTTCGCAGTGGGGAGAAGGGGCGCTACTCCTGGGGAGGTGGTGCTGTGACTTCCTGCAGGCCTGCACAGGCCACCAGGGTCAGGGAAGCAGCTTCCGGCCCTGGGGACTCAGACAATGCTTGGCCTCAGGCCACAGGCCTCACTTCCTAGATGTGTTGTCCACCCTCATTCAGGGGTCCCCCACCCGCACACCCTCCAGGCCCTGCAGTCGTCAGGGCTCCTAAAGATTCCAGAAGATGCTATTATGAACAGAAAACATGTGCAAGGCCCAGGTAACCAAGAAACGCTCTAGTCCCACCTGCCTGCCTCAGGATTTTCAAGTTTGCTGTCTAGTAGCAAAGACAGAAATGCAGATGAATAATTGTAGCGTAAGGTACGAACCGCTGGGGGACCTGAGATCGGACATAAAACAGCTAACAAGGAGAAGACAGGATGTAAATCATTGCACCCTTGAACTTGGTGATCTGACTTCCTAGCAGTCTCATGAATGACACCATTTACAATCTGGAAAAATGCCATGTGCCACTATGCTTGGGGCCCCTTACACCCAGGAGCCTGCACGCTAGCCACAGGGACAGGAAACAGACGAACAGAAGCCCCCTAGAAGGCTGCCAGGAACGTGCTGTGGGGGTGCTCCTGCCAGATGCAGTGTAGGCAACACGTGACCACTTGTATGAATATCATGTTTACACAGGGAAGAAATACTAGAAAAGGACGAAATACGGGGCACCGGGGTGGCTCAGTCGGTTGAGTGTCTGACTTTGGCTCAGGTCATGGTCTCACGGTTTGTGGGTTCAAGCCCCGCGTCTGGCTCTGTGCTGACAGCTAGCTCAGAGCCTGGAGACTGTTTCAGATTTGGTATTTCCCTCTCTCTCTGACCTTCCCCTGCTCACGCTCTCTCAGAAATAAATAAAAAACATTTTAAAAAAGAAAAAAAAAAAGAAAAGAAAAGGACGAGATAACTGAAAAGAAATCCATTATGATGACTGGAAAATACATGACTTTACAATATTATGTTTTTGTTTTAAGTAGGCTTCTCAGAGCCCAAAGCAGGGCTTAAACTCACAACCCTGAGAGCAAGGCCTGAGCTGAGATCAAGAGTCAGATGCATAACTGACTGAGCCACCCAGGCGCCCCCACAATATTGTTTTAAGACGGACTTATTAGAGGGCCTTACAGGGACCATGACCCTTGGCCTCTCCACCATGGCTAATGGTCTCAGGCCTGCTCCACCATCTTGCTAATTAACAGGGTGTCTGTTCAACACCTGAGCCCAGGGCCTGCCACCAGGGCCTCATGGGGCCCCACATCACCTCAAGCAAGTCCTACTTTTCTCCTTTTTTTAAAAAAAAATTTTAATATTTTTAAAAATTTATTTCTTTAAAAAATTTTTTTAAACGTTTTATTTATTTCTAGGAGAGAGAGAGAGAGACAGCGTGAGCAGGGGAGGGTCAGAGACAGAGGGAGTCACAGACTTTGAAACAGGCTCCAGGCTCTGAGCTGGCAGTCAGCACAGAGCCCGACGCGGGGCTCGAACCCACGAACCGCGAGATCATGACCTAAGCCAAATTCGGACGCTTAACCGACTAAGCCACCCAGGTGCCCCTAAAAATTTATTTCTGAGAGAGAGACAGCATGAGCAGGTGAGGGTCAGAGAGAGAGAGAGGTACAGAAACTGAAATAGGGTCCAGGCTCTGAGCTGTCAGCACAGAGCCTGACGCGGGGCTCGAACCCACAAACTGTGAGATCATGACCTGACCGAAGTCAGACGCTCAACTGACTGAGCCACCCAGGTGCCTCATGTCCTGCTTTTCTCCTACATGTAGCCTGAGACACATGCCCTCTGACACAATGAAAACTCCCTCACCCCCATGGTCCCGCACCCTGCAGACCCCTCCAACCGACCCCTGACTTCTCTAGCTCAGGCCCCTTCCCAGGCAGGAGGGCTGGTCACCTGCTCCTACCACTGCCTGGCTGCCATCCTCTTCCTCACCCCCTTCCCATCTCCATAGCCATGGAGCAAAACCGGCCCCCCCTTCTGGGATCCCGCCCCTCTGGGCACGTCCCCCCTCTGTGCTCTTCCCTCCCCCCACCTGGGGCAGACTGACCACTCACACTGGTAGCTCATCCCTCTTCTGACTCTGAGCCACTAGCCTGGGGCTCTCCCCCTGTCCCCCATCACTTCCTCTTTACCCCCATGGCCACGTCATCATCCCTGGCACAGCAGGCACCGTGCTGGGTGCTCTTGCTCTCCCCAGGCTCTGGGCTCTCGTGCAGGGGCAGGCGAGGTAGCAATCCTCCCAGGCCTACATCTCTTTCCGCAGCCCTTAAGCCCTCACAGAAGTTCCAGCAGCTGCTGTGGGGACAGCCCCTGCGGCCCTGGGCCCCGAGGGAGGCAGAGCTCTGAGAGCCCTCCTCTCCCCTCACCAGCATCTAACAACTCTGGCCTACTGGGTTGCGCCGACTCGCTTTATGCCACCTGCCTCTAAAATAGTTCCTCACAGCAGAACAGACTGAGCCAGTAATACCCTTTGCACATGCCACACCCTAAAGGGACATGGTCACCAGGCATGTCCTCCTGAGCTCTGTAGGGCCACGGGGCGGTCAGGGTAGACACGGGCCAGTTCACACTGACCTTCACGCTCAGTGACTTGGGCTTGTTGTGAACTCTGCCTGATCCCACCAAGCAGGCCCTCGGGGCAGGGTGTGTGTGCAGGGACAGAGCTGACCTGCCACACAGGAACCATGCTTGGGGACGCTAAGATGCCCGTACGCTGAGGCTGGGTGTGTCTTAACTTTAGGGGTGACACAGCGACTAGGTAGGGCCTGTGGGCCCAGCCCCTGGGGAGGGAGGAGGTTCACACACGCTGCATGGCCTACTAGCTCTTACTGTTTTTTTCTCCCCTCAAATCTGCTAAGCTTGCTGTGTCTCACCTCTGCTCCTCAGCTGCCACCTGTGAACAGCAGACAGCACGACCCAGTCACTGTGGCCACAGGCAGAGTGGCTTGCACACTGCCTGACCCCTGCCCAGCCTGAGGCCTTGGCCAGTCTCTTAACCCACCTGGCCTCTGCCTCCCCGTCGGTGAAATGGGACAGAAATAGGATCTACTGCACTACGTTGAAGTCCTAACCTGCTCAGATTCGTCACCTTATTTGGATTTAAAGTCTCTGCAGGTATAAGATGACATCATACTGGAGCAGGGTGGGCCCTAAATCTAATAGGACCAGTGTCCTTACGAGAAGAAACCCAGGCAGGGAGAGAATGACACGAAGACAGACACACGGGGCGGGGGTGGAGGGGGGGCTCCATGTCATGATGCAGGCCAGACTGCAGTGATGCACTTAGAGACCAAAGAACACGAAGGCCTGCTGGCAAGACCAGAAGCTAAGAGAAAGGCCTGGAACCAATTCTCCACGCCTTTGTTTGAGAGAGCGTGACCCCACCAACGCCTTGATCTCTGGCTTCTGGCCTCCAGAACCACGAGACAATACACCTCGGTTGTTCTGAGCAACACAGCCTATGAGAGTTTCTGACGACAGCCGTGGGAAGGCAACGCAGCACGGTTATGGGGATGGAAGGGGAGTCAGGACATGTGTTGTGAGTGGCAGCTGAGGTCAAGTTCAACACGTGGCACAAGCCAAACTCCTCGTTCCTGTCTCGTGGGGTCCCCTCCTGGCCGGTACACCGCTTACCTGCTGCTCAGGAAGCCCATCGCCAGCTCGGCCAGCTCACCCTCCACCTCCTCCTGGCTCAGCACTGTTGCTGGGACCTTCCATGGCAAAGGGCTCTCTAGGCTCAGTGGGGCTGGGAAGTCGCTGAGGAAGGCGTCCAGGAAGCCCAGGATCTCCTCTGCCACTGGGCTACTCTGTTGTGGGTCTCCGGAGGCCATGTCCACAGCATCCCGGGGGGCTCTGCCGGGGTTCCAGGTGATCTTCACTCTGAGGAGAGGCGTGAGGCTCAGCAAACACAGTGCTCTGCTCTCGGGGTAACCGTGCCCTCACCCCACAGTGCTGAGTGTGTGGTGCCTTGCTTTCTTCCCCTCACCTCCAAACATCATGCGGCAGGTACGACACCAAGCCCAGGGCCTCAAGGCAGAAGGGCAGGGCTACTGGCTTCACATATAGTTCAGGGCACCCGAGCAAGTGGGAACAACGACCCTGGTCAGTGTCCTGACAAGGGTCCAAGACGGGATACTTGGGAGCCTAAGAGAAGTGGCTTCAGGAGACAGAGCTGAGATCAGAGGCCACAGGGGTGCCCTGAAGGAGACGTGACAGAGAAGGAAGGTGTGTTTCTAATAGAGGATGGCCGGCATGGCCAAGGGCAGGCAGGAGAGGGACCCAGGGCCAGGCTATTGAGGTGGGGAAAACACAATAGGTAAAGGGGTTCAACTTGACGCTGGGACCTTGGCAGCCAGAAGGCGAGGAAGTGATGCCATCAGGTCTGTGAGCCTAGAGGAGAGAAGGGACATCTGTCGGGGGAAGAAAAAGAAGAGTTTGGATGGTGCCAGGACCGGCCCTGGGCTGTTCTGGACACCGACAAGAGGGGGAGTAGGAAGGGGTCCCAGAGGCTGCAGGGCACCCCAGGGGCGTGGGCAGGAGAATCCAGGAAAGTTGGGGACATCTGTGATGTGTTTTTTCCGACAGGAGCAGCCCTGAGCCTCCTGAGCCCTGGCTGAAGGAGAGGCACCAGGGACAGCCCAGGCCGCTGACCCCAGTGCCCTGGGCGCTGGCTCCCACCTGCCAGGCTCTTCCTCCCTCATCCTCAGGAAGGCCAAGGGTTTACTAGCTGTCAGGCCATAACAACCCTGGGAGCCAGGATGAGCCCCCATTTCACAGAAGGGAACAATGAAGCTTGGAGAGGGGTGGCCCTTTGACAATGGATGATAGGGTCCAGGAGGGATTATGGAGCCTTCACTCATCACCACCCTGCCCAGCTCTTCTCCCACGAGGGCCTCACTCACCCATGGCTCCCACCCTATTGTCCTTCCAACTCCTCTCCCCCAGCTCAGGACCTCCATGCATTGCCAGCCCACCCTCTTCCCTTAATCTGCCCCCAGGCTCATGGGCCAGCGAAGGCCTGTCTCAGACTCCTGCCTCTCATGTTCAGCCCTCCAGCCCCAAGTGGTTCCAGAGCCCGTCTTCTGGCAAACATCCTCCCCTGTTTGCTCTCAAGGCCCCACTTCCTACCCCGCACCCAGCTGTGCCACACCCTGGCCACCAAGCACAGGCGCCTGATCTCCTGCTTCGGGAGTTTGAGCCCCACACTGGGTCCCGCACTGACAGTGCAGTTCCTACTTGGGATTCTTGGTCTTGCGCTCTCTCCCTCTCTCTCAAAATAAATAAACTTAAAAACAAAAAACACAAGAGCACAGGATGAAAAGGAGAGAGAAAGTTCAAAGTCTAATCTGGGAGGGACTTGGAGGGACATGGGAGGTAAACAAACAAATAAAAACAACAGAAAACCTCTCTTTCGGAAACCTGTCAAAAGTTGGCTTTTTTTTTTTTTTTTTTTTTTACAAACAGTTTGTCAAGTTGGTTTCCATATGAAAGTTGGCTTTTTAAAGCAGGCACAGAAATAATACAGAAACGAGGGCACTTATGATGGAAGGTTATGGGGACAGACTTAAAATCATTGCCATCCTTCATGTTTACCTATAAGTAGACGTATATACAATGTAGCCCCGGGTTACAAACGGCGAAGAGGTGAAAAAAAAAGAGAGAGAAAGAGGGTCAAATAGAGAAGCAGAAATCAGGACACAAGCAGATCGGACAACTATATTATAACCACAAGGGTGAGACTTTGTGAACTGGGGACATCAGGAAGGGCTGGGAGGCTTAGGGAAGCAGTGAGGGTCAACTGGGGAGAAGGCAGGCTGGCCGAGCCGCAGAGCACAGAGAATCCTGTCGGGGAAAAACAAGAAGATGGCGTGAATTTCCCAGCAGGCTCTGACACCCTTCCGCAGAGAAAGAGGCCAAGCCACCTTTTCCATGTGGGAACAGCTCTGGCCTGTTGTTTAGGGGAGAGAAATGTGAGTAATGCAGTGCTGCCCTCAAGCAACAGCCTGCAGCCCTGGGGCTGGAAATGCCTTCTGGCTGCCTGCAATTCCAAGCCCAGAAACAATACTCTTCCAGGCATTGAAATCTTAGGCGGCACAAAGGGAGCTCCTCTAAAGTGTATGACTAAGACCAAAATGAGAGGGGGGCTTGCTCGCTAACCTCCCCAGAATGCACAGGAGGGCCCGAGTTTGAGAAACCCTGGCCCCCAGTGTAAATAAAGCACAGAATTCAAGACCCTTCGCTTGTCGCCTCACCTGCTGGCAGCATATGCTCAATGTTTTGGAATGCAGAGCGCTCCCTGGGATGCTATTTTCTGTGCCTGGAGCCCCCTCCTCCAGAGCCCGTCCCTTTCCCTGGGGGTTGGTGGCCCCTCCTCTCTGCCTCTGCCCGGGCCCAGGGTCAGCACAGGCCTGGATGGTGGCCTGTGACATGCCTGCTGAGTGGGATCGGGGGATAAGTGGGGGCAGGCAGCACGGGGCGTGACAGTGCTTGTGTGCCTGCCTGGCCAGTGTCTGCCAGGGTGTGGGCTGGCTCACTCCCAGGGCCTGCGCCAGCTGCCCTCCTTTGCTGGATAGGCGGGTGGCCCAGAGCCATCCTCCCTGCTGAGGACCAACCAGGCTTGTCTCCGTATCACCTGGCTGAGACAAGGGGCCAGGAGAGGAACTGGGACGTGGCTTTCCCTCCCTGGGGCCTAGCTGGAGTAAAAGTCAAGAGTGATTGCCTTCCTTGTCCTTTTTTTCAACAAACTCCAAATCTGTGATGTCTGCCTTACAGATCTAAGCAAAACAGTCCCTGTCCCCAGGAGCTTGGGCCGGAGAGATAAAGGCATGAAGAGGGCAGGAGGTGGAGATTCCAAAAGCAAAGGGGGCCCCAGAGGCTGCCCCAGTGCCAGAAGGGGCAGGGGACCTTGCCGTGGCCCTGAGCTCTCACAGGACCACCTGGAGGGAACAGAGTCTCAGCAGCCAGCTGGCAGGCGGCGTGACATGAGCCACAGCTGTGCCGGGCGCCCCAACAGCATGCGATCGTGAGGGGTTCCGAGGAGGGGGGCTCATGCGTAAAGTCTGTGCAAGTCATCAAGGCTCAGGGGTGGGCGTGGGTGGAACACTGGGCTACCAGGCCCCTTGTCACCTGCCTCAACCAGACTGGAAAAACCTGGCCCATGGCCGTGGACTCCGGCTCCGGGAATGACGTTGCTCATCCGCTGGCGGCCACAATAACGGTGCTGCCAGCCAACATGTGCCAGGGGCCTTCTGCTGCCGGCAACAACGACAATCTTCCTGCAGCTTCTCTTTTCACCTCCCAACACCCTGTTGTCATTAACCTCCCTTTACAGGTGGGGGCTGCAGCAAAACAACCAAGTGAGTTGCTGGGAGTCCCTCAATGGTCTATGGAGCCTAGCTCCTAACTGCAACAGAAAGCCTGCCCACCCCTCACTGGTCACCAGTCTGGAGAGTCCATCCCTCTTGGCTTCCCTTCTTTCATTTCTATGCCCAGCACCCTGGTCTAGCCCCTCAGCTCCAAGCTCCTGTCCCTTGCCTCGTGGCATCCCCCTTTGCCCTCCCCAGGCCTCTCTGATCCAAGCTCTGCTGAAATCGTCACACCTTTGGGGTCTAGCACACTGTCTTCATGTGTTAGACCCCAAATGAACAAATACTTATTTTCCTCTAGTTTATCCATTTTGACTCATAGGCTCAACCAACGCACATGTGTACAATTGCGTTTTTCTTGATCGTGGGGATAAAATACTTGAGAGTCCTGCCTGACTTCAGGGCGTAGGAGTAATGCAAAAAATAGCAATCCTTAAGCATGGAAACTGCATCATTGTTACAAAAGTATCGCCTTCATCATTAAAAGTTTTCCGTAAATGGAGAACCTTATTTCTTTATTCCTAAGGAACTGCGGGGAGGAATATGGTGTCCATTTTCCAGATCTTTTTCCTACACATGTAACATTTTTCTCTTTAAAGATTGTGGTTAAGATATACATGACCTACAATTTACCATTCTACCCCCATTCTTAGGTCTACAGTTCTATGACATTAAGTACATTCACACTATTGTGCAACTGCCACGTTTTATAGGCGTTACTTTCTCTGTACTGAGCTCCCTGAAGCCAGGAAGCCCACCCCTGTCCTCTTGGGCATTATAATGGCCCTTTGTGCACGGCACCTGGCGAGTGTGACAGCAGAGGGAAGATGCTGGCTGCCTTCTGCCACTACCAGTGGGTGGTGTGGGCTCAGATAAGCAGCCTGAGGCCTGGCACCTTCAAAGAGGAAGTTAAGATATTCTTTGGCGAACAGTGATCAGCAGAGAAAGGTTTTAAAGACAGGGTTGGCCTCAGGCAATATCTCAAAAGGAATTCTACAAATGAACTTGTATAGAGGTTTACAGTTTTCAAAGTGGTATTTGTTTTGTTACCCCTTGCACAACTAGGCTGAGAAGTACATTCTGTCAGGCCACGTTGCAGATGAAGAAATAGGCTTGGGGAAGGTAACAACCTGCCTCAGGACATACATGGAGGAAACGGCAAAGCCAGACTCACATGAAGTCTTCTGATGCCTTTTGTCACGTTCAGCTCAGTTGTAGGAAGAAAAGGTTTGAGATTTGACAATAGGCCAGATATGGGCATAAAGGCCAGAAGTGAGCTGGAGATGACCTCAGAGGGTTGGCCCTACATTCTATCTCCCATGGTGGGAGTACAGCTCAGCCCACAGAACTTGCCCCAGGAAATACCATGAAGATGTGAGTCCTGCCGGGTGGAAGGCTGTGGGGGTGCTGTCCATCACCATCCACTAGTCCTCACTGTGTGTTAGACCCTGCGTTAAAATCTCCATAAGCAGGTGCCATTTCTCCCTATTGCGGAGGTTAGGAGGCTTGCCTGAGGCCACACAGCCACCAGTGGTGGAGGAGTCCATCACGTCCCTGCCTGAGATTTTGATTTCACACACCTAGGACTAAAGCTGCAGCGGCACAAGGATTCCCTTTAACTAAAACACTCACTTTAAATCCACTTGGAGAAGGGCCATGGGTGGGGGCAGGCCACGGGGTAGGGGCACCTGGGCAGAGATGTGGTCTGGCAAAGGTGCAGGGACTGGTCGGGTGAGGGTCAGGGCACTGAGCCCAGGCCAGATGCTCTAGGAATGGGAGCTCGGTCCCGGGCAAATGAGGGGCATGGCACCCCTCAACATCCATTTCGCTTCATCGCCCTCAGTTCCCACCTGGCCTTGGGCTCGGCCACACCCCCGCCGGCCCAATGGCCCCCCAGTTCTGCATCCTTGGCTCCCCAGCCCTCCAATTCCCTGCCTCGGGTTCCTCAGGTTCCCGAGCGTTCCCTCCGCTCTACAGCTCCCCTACTCGGCCCCTGAACCCCTTGGGTCTTCCCATCTCGGCCTCCCTGCCTCCCCAGCCCCCCTATTCCGCACCCTCCGGTTCTTCAGCGCCTCGTTTCACCCCATATGCCTCAGGTGTCCACCTGAGCCTCAGGCCAGCGCGGTCGGCCCCCCAGTCCCACGCCTCCGGGCTCCTCACCCCCCAGACCCCAAGGGCCTCACCTGCTAGTCCGCCACTCCGGACCCCGCGAGCTGCTCCTGGCCGGCCCCGCCCACTTCCCGTCCCCCGCCGCCGCGGGCTCCGCGCAGGCGCAGTTAGGCCGCGGACGGGCGGGGTCGGGCCTCTGCTGCCCCCTGGTGGCTTCGCGGCCCTTTTATTACAAGTGTTGAAGAGCCGCGCTGCGCCCGAAGGGTCGCGCGGGTGCGCGGCCACGCGGCCCCCATCCTGGGTTCTAGAGCGAAAACGCTCACTAGCGAATTGTTTCACTTCTCGAGCGTTGGGTTGTTGGGTAGACGGGGGAAAGCAACCCCTCCGTCACAGCGCCCAGACATTAAGCAACACGTGTGCTCGGCAGCTGTTGAGTGGCAGAGCAGGGAAGCCGACCCAGACTGCCCCGGGGATCCGCGGACCACCAGGCAAGGAGGCACCGTGCCTGCGGCCCAGCATACTTTTAGCGGTTGTGTTAGTTTCTTATTGCTGCTGTGACAGTTACCACAAACTTACACACGTGTATTTATTTACAACTCTGGAGATCGATCAGAAGTTCGCAGAGCTCTCAACCGGCTAAGTTCCAAGTGTCAGCAGTGTGCGTACCTGAACTTGGGCATCTAGAGTGGAATCCCTGCTCTAGCCTTACCGGATTCTGAAGGCTGCCCGTTCCTTGCCTGGCAGCCTCTTCCACCTTCAAAGCCGGGAACCCTAGGAGGAGCCCTCCCGCTGCCACCTCTCCGATTGCCTCCTCTGATTCCCTGTTCCATTTTTAAAGACCCTGTGATGACTTTGGGCTGTCCAAATGATACATGGATAATCTCCCTATTTTATTTTATTTTTAATTATTTTTTTAATGTTTTATTTATTTCTAGGAGAGAGAGAAAAAGACAGAGCGAGCAGGGGAGGGTCAGAGAGAGAGGGAGTCACAGACTGAAACAGGCTCCGGGCGCCGAGCTAGCAGTCAGCACAGAGCCCGACGCGGGGCTCGAACCCACGAACCGCGAGATCATGACCTAAGCGAAAGTCGGACGCTTAACCGACTAAGCCACCCAGGCGCCCCTATTTTTAATTATTTTTAACGTTTATTCATTTTGGGGGAGATAGAGACAGAGCGCGAGTGAGAGAGGGGCAGAGAGAGGGGGAGACACAGAATCTGAAACCGGCTCCAGGTTTTGGGCTGTCAGCACAGAGCCTGACACAGGGCTTGAACTTGAGAACTGCGAGATCATAACCTGAACCCAAGTCGGATGCTTAGCCACCCAGGCGCCCCTCCCTATTTTAAAGTTAGATGGTGTGAAACCTACATTCTGTCTGCAACCCTGATTCCCCTTTGCCATGTAATCTAACATCAACACAGGTTCCAGGTATGAAAAGAAAACATGGACATCTTTGGGGATGGGGCATTTTTCTGCTACCAAAGAGGCCATGAAAAGGTTTTCTTTTAAAGCTAGAATAGGGGCGCTTAGGTGGCTCAGTCAGTTAAGCGTCCCACTTCGGCTCAGGTCATGATCTCACGGTTCGTGGGTTCGAGCCCTGTGTTGGGCTCTGTGCTGACAGCTAGCTCAGAGCCTGGAGCCTGTTTCAGATTCTGTGTCTCCCTCTCTCTCTGACTCTCCCCTGCTCGCGTTGTGTGTGTGTGTCTCTCTCTCTCAGAAATAAAACATTAAAAAAATAAAAAAAATAAAGCTAGAATAAATGAGCTTTTAGCTCAAAGAAAATCTTTTAATATATAATATTAATATAATTGATCTTTATATCAATGCATTTGTAAAGTATAACTTAAAATTTTTTATGGAGGAAAGATTCTCAGAAGTCGTCTGCAGCCCCACCTCCTTGACTTTCCAGTCCACATCTGGGCCTGTATCCTTGCCAGGAACTAGGGTCTCCACTTCACTAACAGAAGGGGTTCAGCGAAGCAAGGAAACTTGGACAACTAACGGCTGATATGAAAGGAAACCATTTTGGGTGGGGGTGAGTCTGGAAGGCAGGGGGTGTTTAGGCAGAGAAAGCAGGGTGGGAGAGGGACGCTGGCTAATCTCATTCTCCTACTTAGATCCTATAACCCCCTGTTAGTGTGGTGACCCCAAAAAGGCTTGAGGTTACTTCTTACAACTCATGACCTTATTTCTTTTTTTATTTTTTTAAATTTATTTCTAGGAGAGAGAGAGAGAGGGACAGCATGAGAAGGGGAGGGTCAGAGAGAGAGGGAGACACAGACTCTGAAACAGGCTCCAGGCTCCGAGCTGGCAGTCAGCACAGAGCCCAACGCGGGGCTCGAACCCACGAACCGCAAGATCATGACCTAAGTGAAAGTCAGACGCTTAACCGACTAAGCCACCCAGGCGCCCCAAAACTCATGACCTTAGACATGTTCCTTAGCTCAAGTGAGCCTGTTTCCTTACATATAGAAAAATGGGGACTACAGCAATAAAGCAACCATGCCATCTCATGGGGTTGTTGTGAGCTGTGAAACCCTGAATCAGTGTTTCCCACGGTGTGTCCAGACCACCGTCATCATAATGACTGTGGGGTGAAGTTTGAGAACCATGGCACACGTGAAGTGGTGCATGGGACAGGACCTCCTGCCCTGTGAAGTGGGGTGCCTATGAAAGCTGGTATGCCTGGAATCCTCCTCAGCTGGGGCCCACATTACACTCTTGGGAGCACTGATTCTATTCAAGGTCAGTGGCTTAGAGATGACAGCAAAGTGAAGCACTGCCACTTGGCCTGGAGTTGGCCCCATGGGGTACTAGACCAAGGCATTGCCTGTGAGATTACTTGTGTCCTGTGGCTTCGGTCCACCTCTCCCTGTCTGCATTCCATCATGCCTCAGCTTCTGGCTCTTGGCTTTCACTCTCATTGAAAGCAATCTTCCAACGTCACCTGCTCCACCGAGCCAGAGTTTGAGCTCTGCTTTTCTTACAAGGCTGCACCCCTGGCTTAGGTGAGCAGACCACGTGGATCTCCCAAAGCGTTCAGCCTGGGTGTTCCTCCCACCTCTCCCCGCTGTGACTGAACCCTCTCCTGGTCCCTGAATGACCATTATTCAGGAACCCCATCCTGAGCCCTCTACTCCCCTGCTCTAGGACCTCATGTGTCTGCAGGTGGTTGTACTGACCCCCTCCTTCTATCTTCCTGCTCTGTCCCATTACACATTGCCAGACGCATTGTAGAGATGGGATGACGTTGCTTTTGGGGTTTCAAACAATTAGTGATGCTGTGACCTTGGAAAGAAGGGACAAACCCTCAGGGGCGCCTGGGTGGCTCAGTCGGTTAAGTGTCTGATTTTGACTCAGGTCATGATCTCACGGTTCATGGGTTTGAGCCTGTTTCAGATTCTGTGTCTCCCTCTCTGACCCTCCCCTGCTTATGCTGTCTGTCTATCTGTCTCTCAGAAATATATAAAATATTTAAAAAAATTAAAAAAAAAAAAAAAAGAAGGTACAAACTCTCAACCCCTGCCTGCCTGCCCAGGGACTCCCACTTGGCTTCTTATTTCCAGCATTGTTCCTTTTTCAAAGGAGGCCCTCAGAGCTCCCTTGGCTGCTGGTATCTTCAAGTCTTCAAGGGCCTGACTGACCCATTAAGGGTGGAGGGGGAGTGGGTTCGTATCTGCAGGTCTGTGGTGCCTTCTCCTGTCTAGCAGCCCTGGAAGGGATGCCACGTTCAACTGATCAAACACTCATGGTGCAGCTCGTGGCAATGTGCACCAGTCTCAAAGTGACAGGAAAGGGCAACGGTCTGTGTCTAGCCAATTCAGCTGGACAACCAGGCCCTGCTCTGTGAGCCATGCACGAAGGCCTGGTATACAGGAGTTCTGCCCCCTGAACCCCCAGAGCAGGTCAGCCTGAAGCCCCTGAAGCAGGTCAGCCACCTCCCTGACCTCAAGGGCAGAAGATGTAGTTCCGTGGAGCACATTCGGCTGTCCTGGCCAGAGCAGGCCTCATCCCTTCCTGTCCTTCTTGCTCCCACAGCCACCTTGGAAGAGCAGTAGGGTTGGATGCTGTTGGATGGCATGAGATGAAGGGACCCAGAAGGCAGACTCCAGTTTTGAATGCTAAGGAGATTCGTACACAAGGGATGACTGCAGAGAAAAATGAACCTTTTATGATTAGCCCTGTTTGGGGCCGAAGCCTTAGTGCAGAATTCTAGTAAGGTTTGGGTTTAAAGCCTAAGGTACAGTCTCTGCCCCCGCTAAGTCCCTCTGGCCATCTGCCTGGACTGCCTGTGTGTGTATGTGGGTGGGGGAGGGGTCCTAGAGCAGAAGGGAGTTAGGGCACCTTCCGATGGAGAAGGCCTTGGGTCCGCTCACTGTCGACGGGGTGGCAGAGCAGAGAGACCCCTGTGCCAGGACACTATCCACTAGCAGACGTGGCCTTGCCAGTGCCCCAGAATCTGACCAGAGCAAGAAGGGTGGGGGAAGGGACACCAGCAATCTGAGAGCTGTGACACTATTCCAGCACCCACACGACAGCTTCCTGGGAGCCTGCCCTTAGGGGCAGTCTGCCCTGCGTCACTGCTCTGGCTCACTGCTTATTCTCTTTGAACTGCTCCAGTGGTTGCCCCGTGTTCTAGGGACATGAGGACTGGCTCTTTGGGGCCTCCCCAAAAAGGGAGCCTGGAGGGTGCAGCGTCTGCTTGGAATGCTGGGCAACGTCACAGGTGTACTCACGGAAGCTCTGCTCAGAGCCTTGTTATGTTCTAGCGTGAACTGTGAATCTAGTGCCTGGACAGACCACGTGCGAAACAGTTCTGACTCGCCCCTCATGAAGGTGCCCACCACCCGGCTTAGAAAGATTTTTCTGAGCTCCCATGTGGTAGATCGTGGGCAGGAGCGGGATGTTCAACATGCAGTTGATGTGTGGTTGCCTAATATGAGTGCTTCTCTGTGGGGGCCAGGGTGGTGACAGTGGGGCACGGGAACGATGTCAGGTGGAGGGCAACCCCCAGTGCTGTCTGGCTTATGGATTGTTTTCTAAAGCATGCAGATGGCTTCAGTGGGGCTTCCCGCAGGTCACCCTGTGGAGTGACTGGCCTGCCTCTGTCTGAG